AAAAAAAAAAATAAAATTTAAAAAAGAAAATAGTGTCATATTAAAGATAATACCAGTCAGGGATGATTTAAAAAAATTATCTAAAGCAAAAGAGAAAATTAAGGAGGCATCCCCCTAGTACGCACTTTTTTTTTTCTTTTTTGAGACAGACTTTCACTATGTCACCTTCAGTAGAGTGCTAGGGCATCACAGCCCACAGCAACCTCAAACTCCTGGGCTTAAGTGATTCTCTTACCTCAGCCTCCTAAACAGCTGGGACCACAGGTGCCCAGCCACCTTTCTGTTGCAGCTGTCATTATTGCTCCAGCAGGCCTGGGCTGGGGTTGAACTGTGACCTGGTGTTTGTGGGCGGCAACTGACCCACTGAGCTATGGGCACCACCATTATACACACTTTTGACTACTATAGAAGTATATTTTAAGGGGTACAGAAAACTTTTTTAGAGTTTTGTTAAATCCACTTTGTAAGTAAAAGTATCACTACAAATAAGAATGATGGGGGCTGGGCATGGTGGCTCATGCCCATAGTCTCGGCACTCTGGGAGGCTGAGGCAGGTGGATCGCTTCAGCTCAGGAGTTTGAGGCTAGCCTGAGCAGGAGTGAGACCCCGTCTCTACTAAAATTAGAAAAAACTAGCTAGCTGGTATGGTAGGTGCCTGTGTGGGTGCTGCTGAAGCAAGAGGGCCATGGAACCCCAAGAGTTTGAGGTTGCTGTGAGCTCTGAAGACATAGCACTCTACCCAGGGTGACACTGTCTCAAAGAAAAATAAAAAAGAATGATGTGACAAAAAGAAAAACTGTTGACCAGTTCTCCTATTCCAGGTGCAGAAATTAGCACTCAGAGTTTGAGAGCATCACGGTTCTGCTGTCTGCCAGTAGTAGCTATGTCCCCTCCTGGGCTGGGTGGCTGCCTTTCCACCCTCAGAGTGAGCAGTTAGTTACCTGCGAGTCTTTGAAACATGTTCAAGGTTAGGCTTGGCGCCTGTGGTTCAAGTGGCTAAGGTGTCAGCCATGTACACCTAAGGTGGTGGGTTCAAATCCATCCTGGCCCGCCAAACAACAATGACGGCTGCAACCAAAAAAAAATAGCTGGCCGTTGTGGTGGGCACCTGTGGTCCCACCTACTTGGGAGGCAGAGGCAGGAGACTCGCTTGAGCCCAGGAGTTGGAGGTTGCTGTGAGCTGTGATGCCACAGCACTCTACCCAGGGCGAAAGCTTGAGGCTCTGTCTCAAAAAAAAAAAAAAGAAGAAACACGTTCAAGGTCCCACCAAATCCTTATAAGATGGCTAAACCTCCTTAATTTGAGGGTTTATTCTAAAGTCCAAATCTAAAGAATTAGCTCTGATAACATTATTTCAAGCACTAGTTTTAAACAATTATAGTGCATTTAGTTTCCAAATATACCCCAAAGACAGATGACCCATGAAAAATCTACATAATATCTGGATTGCAAGTGTCATAATGGACTAGGTAGAAAGCGCTTTTATGACACATTCCTTGTTCTCCTTTAAAGTGACAACAGTAGCAACTGTGACAGTAGTGATCAGTGGTAGTCAGCATCACTGCTGTGGGAGGAGCAATAGTTCCAAGGCTTTGAGAATGGAGGAAAAGTTATTTTAAGGAAAAGTTGATGAACTAGTAGAAGAATAACATTAAAACCAATGTTTTAAATACAAAAGTATGTTTCGGTTGCATTAAATTTACTAATTATTTTCACTTATTTATTTATATATATTTTTGAGACAGAGTCTCACTTTGTGATCCTCAGTAGAGTGATGTGGCATCACAGCTCACAGCAACCTCAAACTCTCGGGCTTAAGCAATTCTCTGGTCTCAGCCTCCCAAGTAGCTGGGACTATAAGTGCCTGCAACAATGCCTGGCTATTTTTAGAGACAAGATCTTGCTTTGGCTCAGCCTGGGGTCTCGAATCTGTGAGCTCAAGCAATCCACCTGCCTCAGCCTCCCAGAGTGCCAGGATTACAGGCGTGAGCCGCTACACTCTGCCAATTTACTAATAATTTTCAAAGCATATGTAAAAATAAGTCATACCTGATCGATTTCTTTCATCTTTAGAGCTGATGTCAGCACCCAGGGACAAGAGAGTCTGAACTGTGCTTCTATGTCCTTCCTGAGTGTTGAAATAAACTCATTATCACTGTGATGAAGAAAAAGCAAACCTTTAAACACAAACTCTAATGCATATTAGGTACATTTTCTGAAATAGTCAACTGCTAACACTGAATGTTCGTATCTCAAGGAATATTCATTAAATTCTAGTATAAGTCACTAAGTAAATTTTCTGGTGACATTTAATGATAGAATGTAGGTGATCGACTCTGTGGATTAATTACGGACACAATGCATTTGGGTTTCCATTAGTGTGAGCACCATAAATCTTGTGATTTATACAGAATCCACAAAAAATGCAAAAATCTTTAGGACAAAGGTAAACTACAGTGCTCATAATCTCTCATAAAAGTAATGGTAAAGGTGAAAAAGCAAAAGACTCTTGGCATCGAAAATGTCTACTTTTCTAGTGAAAAATTTTTACTTGTCTTCAATATTTTATACGTCAGATAACCAACTAAAAGGATCTTTTTTTTGTTTTTAGAGACAGAGTCTCACTTTATAACCCTTGGTAGAGTGCTGTGGCATCACAGCTCATAGCAACTTCCAGCTCTTGGGCTTAGCTGATTCTCTTGCCTCAACCTCCTGAGTAGCTGGGACTACAGGCGCCTGCCACAATGCGTATATGGTGCTGGCATCCTACCCACTGAGCCACAAGTACTACCCCAGTTCAAAGGATCTTCTTGGCTGGGTGTGGTGGCTCACGCCTGTAATCCTAGCACTCTGGGAGGCCCAGGTGGGTGGGTTACTTGAGCTCATGAGTTTGAGACCAACCTGAGCAAACTGAGACCCTATTTGTAGTAAAAATAGAAAATACTGAGGCAAGAGGATCACTTGAGCCCAACAGTTGGAGGTTGCTGTGAGTTATGATGCCACGGCACTCTACCCATGGTAACTGACTTAAAAAAAAAAAAGATATTAACTTCTGAAAGCCAAAATAAAAGAGAGAGCTAGGAATTTCATATAATGGATACCTATGGCTTCAAAGAACATCACTCCTGAATACAAAAAAGTAGGGAGAGAGGAGACATGAAGCCCAGGTTGGCATTGTATAGAGTAAAAAGGTTTTTTCAGGTTTTGCCTAGAAACAAAATAAAGTCAGGTTTCTATTTAAAGAGATAAAGGCTTCAGAATCACGAATCATGGGCAATTTCTTCCACAGAAATGGATCCAGCAAAACCAGGGCTGTGGAGGTGCCATCACGGAGCCGGCATGTGGGGAGTAGGTGCTGTGCTGAGAGCAAACCTTAGCGGCACAGAGCAGCGCGGTGAGACGGGTTGACGCTGCTCTCACGTCCACATCAACGCCAAGTTCAGAGACCAAGAAGTGGATGGCTTCATCCTGCCCAGTGACCGCTGCCCTGTGCAAGGCCTGGGCGCCGAGGCTATCCTCAGCTGACAGGCAAGCCTAGTAGACAGAGGAGAGAGGGGTGAAGATGAGAAGGAGAGAAGTCTGGGTTGGGCACCTGCTGATATTTTAGCAAAACTTGGAAGATATGTAGCTTTTGTCCATTGTCAAAAGACCTTCTAACTGGGCAGCGCCTGTGGCTCAGTGAGTAGAGTGCCAGCTCCATATACCAAGGGCGGCGAGTTCAAGCCTGGCCCTGGTCAAACTGCAACAAGAAAATAGCTGGATGTTGTGGTGGGCACCTTTAGTCCTAGCTACTCGGGAGGCTGAGGCAAGAGAATCGCTTGAGCCCAGAGTCGGAGGTTGCTGTGAGCTGTGATGCCATGGCACTCTACCAAGGGTGATAAAGTGAGACTCTGTCTTTAAAAAAAAACAAAAAACAAAAAAAGGTCTCAGTACCTACAGCTCAAGCGGCTAGGGTGTCAGCCACATACACTAGAGCTATGGGCTCGAATCCAGCCTGGGCCTGCCAAACAACAACAACTACAACCAAAAAATAGCCGGGCATTGTGGCGGGCGCCTGCAGTCCCAGCTACTTGGGAGGCCAAGGCAAAAGAATAGCTTAAGCCCAGAAGTTGGAGGTTGCTGTGAGCTGTGATGCCACAGCACTCTACTCAAGGCAACAGCTTGAGGGTCTGTCTCAAAAAAAAAAAAAAAAGACCTTCTAACCAAAAAATGGTAAAGATTTAATCCTCCAGGCCAGGCATGGTGGCTCACACCTATAATCCTGGCACCCTGGGAGGCCAAGGCTGGTAGATCACTTGAGCTCAGGAGTTTGACAGCAGCCTGAGCAAGAGTGAGACCCCATCTCTGCTAAAAATAGAAAAAACTAGCTGGGCATTATACTGGGCACCTGTAGTCCCAGCTACTGGGGAGGCTGAGGCAACAGGATTGTGTAGGCCCAGGAGTTTAAGGTTGTTGTGAGCCATAACGACACCACAGCACTTTACCCAGGGTGACAGAGACTCTGTCTCAAAAACAAAACAACCTCCCCCCCAAAAAACCCCACAATAAAAAGATTCAGTGCCCCAGGGTATAGTGCCAAAAGCAGTTGGCAGAGACAGTTTGTCGCTACTACTACCAAATGGCTACTATTTATTGACTATTTACTTTGTTAACTGCTTTATGTGGATTATTTAATCTTTGTGGGAATGTTATAAAGAAATTAAACTTGTCTCCATTTTACAGATTGGAAGATGGATGTTAAAGAGATCACAGGGGAAGGATGGCCTTGAATCCACAATATAAATATGTATTCTACTTATGCTAAGCTCTAAAATTTGTAGGAAAAGACAAAAAGAATCAAACAAAACCATTTTATTTTTTATTTTTTTTTTTTGAGACAGAGCCTCAAGCTGTCCCCCTGGGTAGAGTACCGTGGCATTACAGCTCACAGCAACCTCCAAC